CCCCGGCGACCCCTTCACGCCGGACTCACCACCGGCGACGACGTGCCGGGGTTGCCATTCGTGTGCAGCCCCCGGCGGCCCCTTCACGCCGGACTCACCACCGGCGACGACGTGCCGGGGTTGCCATCCGTGTGCAGCCCCCGGCGACCCCTCCACGCCGGACTCACCACCGGTGACGACGCGCCGGGGTTGCCATTCGTGTGCAGCCCCCGGCGACCCCTTCACGCCGGACTCACCACCGGTGACGACGTGCCGGGGTTGCCATTCGTGTGCAGCCCCCGGCGGCCCCTTCACGCCGGACTCATCACCGGGGACGATGCACCGGCCTTGCCCTTTTTGTGCAGCCCCCGGCGACCTTTTCATGCTGGACTCATCAGCCCCCGGCGGTCACTCCATGCCGGACTCACCATCAGCGACGACGTGCCGGGGCTGCCGCCTATGCACGACCCCTGGCGCACCCTCCGCGCAAGACGACGATGTACCGGGGCCGTCGTCCATGCACGGTCCTCGCCGAGTCCGCCAGCTACACCATCATGTTGGGACTTGGTGGCACGCGTCGTTCGACTCGGCACCATCTAGTGTGCCACCCCCCTTTCTACTTAGACCATCGGCGGGGCCCGGGCAAGGCTCCGCCACATCACGAGGCCTTACTCACCCCCGTCTCGCCGGGTCCATGGAGGCGCCATGGGCTTGCCGGGACTCGGCGACATTCGTCATCTGACTTGGCGCAATCTAGTGCGCCACCCGTTCTACCTACACCACCGGTGTAGCCTGGGCAAGGCTCCGTCACATGGCGAGGTCTTCCTCACCGCCACCTCGCCGGTCCATGGAGGCGCCATGGGCTGGCCGGGACTCGGCGACACAACCCGTTCGATGCGCTGGCGGTGGCGCGACGCTCGACGAGTCACGATGACTCGTCGTAACGATGGCGGCGGCACGGCACTCGATGAGTCATGATGACTCGTCATAACTATGGCAGCGGAGGCATCATCCGGTTGGGGTCGGGACACGCTTAGGCGTGTCTCGCGGCCTCCCTCTTCGTCGGCACGAACACGTGTCACGCGTGCCGAGCGGTGCAAGGTGGCGACTTCCTCCGCTATTGGCGGCGGTGTATGCGGTCATCGACGGATGTGTGCACACCATGTGTCGCACGTCCATCCATTCCTCTTCCTCCTCTACTTCCGCAGGGCATACCCCTCGCACATCCGGCAAATCTACAAAGTCATCGACGACGTCCAAGCCAAGCCCAAACATGCATGCTACTTCAACAACCACATCGATGCCGCTCAAGGCCGACGAGGCAAGACGGCGTAGGCGGGCATGGCCGGAGCAAAGGACACGTTTTCGACGGCGCGTGTACCACTCCGTACACGGACTCTGCCGCAGCCACACACACACCACCACCACCATGCATGAGGTACGCGAAGCGAAGACCGAAGAGGACGACTGAGTAGCTTAATCGGAGGTGTCCCGCGGATAGTTCCGCGGGAGTAATTAACCGGGGGCTTTCCGAGGCCCCCGGAAACCAGGAGACCATGATCGCTTGATCACTTTGGCCGCGCCAGCAGACCCCACACATTTTCTTTTCTTCTTTTTGTATTTATGTACTTTGTACACTGGCACGCCAGCAACTTTTTGTTCCCCGGTGCAAAGGAAGACGCTTATACGAAACCCCCTATTCTTTTTTATGAGCGATGTCGCCTTTCCTTTTTTGTGTCAAACAGTCTCGAACTCGTGTCCTCTAAGTAGTCCAACAATTGCTCATCTCATCAGGATCGGCGTGATTTTGGACGGGATGACGGCTGCAAAAGTGGTGCATGCATGCATGTAAGTGTGTTGCGTGCGTGTTAATTAAATAACCGTAACGCTGATCCGCAAAAAAGAAATAACGGTAGCTCTACGGATTTAACACAAAATGCATTGGGGAATTTGAGGATTTGCCACACCTTACCTAACACTTTGAGGATTTGCCCTTGTTTACATTGACATGGATATTTTGCTCCAACTTTGCTAAAAACTTGAGGATTTGCCCCTTTTACACGGTTACCATAAGTTTCCAGATTACACCACGAAATCATGACTAAATTGCCCCCGAGCATGAACCAACTCTTTCTCTGTTCGTCTCCTCCTATGACAGCAAGCCTTGTTGTGCTTCCTCCTCGCCGCCAGCGCCGGGGACACCTAGACATGCATCAAGGTGGTGGTGTTGGTGGTGCTTTTTTCCAGCGAGCACGACAACCAATGCCTCCTCGACGAGCAAACCCTATGGCATGGTGCGCTGGCTAGCTGCGGTGGACCGACTTAGGCTCCTGGTGGAGGAAATGCAGGACTCGCCGTCTCAAGCTTGATCCTGGTGTTGTGGAAGCGAGTAGGCAGCAACGAAGTCAACCTCGCCGGCGCTAATGACACCGTCGGCCAGCTCGATGCCCTTTTTGTTCCGTTCAAGATGACCGGAGCACGCCGACAACGAGTACGGAGGCCCCGTGACCATGAGACGGGTGAGCGAGCGCGCGCCACAGCTGAGCTGCGACGATGGCGAGCTGGAGGTTCGCGTGACGTCCATGCACACGCGATTGTCGACGAGGCGTCGAGTGGCCATCATCCTGATGCAGACCGGGACCCTGCCAGTAGAGGCTCCAGCATCCAAGTCGGCAGCGGCGAGCTTGGGCGCCGGTGCTGCAGCAAGGCCCACTCGGCGTAGAGCACGCAACGTTATTAGTTCTGGCAGTAGTCAACCATCATCTCTTCTTCTTCGTTTTTTGACATGCATCCTTTCTTTCTTTCTTTCCTGTTTTGAGGAGAAAGCTCACTCGAGATCTGAATCGGTGAAGAAGATGGGGAATTTTAGGATGGGCTGAGGGGCATTTTGGACATTGCAGAGTGGTCCATATTATCAGGGGCAAATCCTCAAGTTTTTAGCAAAGTTGGGGCAAAATATCCATGTCAATGTAAACAAGGGCAAATCCTCAAAGTGTTAGGTAAAGTGTGGCAAATCCTCAAATTCCCCGGCTTGGGCAGCGTCATTATATTCTCCTGCGACCCTTATTTTTTCTGTCTCACTAACAGGTGGGACCCGCATAGGTAGAGAGAGGGTGATGTGATGTTTGACCAGTCAACAGAGAATACGGAGTTATACGATAAGCCAGTGACCATGTAATCACCTCAAGTCGTATATAATGACCGTATTTATCGTATTCTTAAGTACGGTGATCAAAGTGAGCTTTCGACACAAATTCAATCATCGCGAATGCATTTTACTCCAAATTTAATATATGAGTTGGTGGGGGGCAATTATAAGCTATATGAATTGTACGTCAGAGAAGGTGTACCTTTTTGTTATGAGTATTCTACCATTCTTATTAAGCATGGATATCACAGTTAGCTAGGGTAATCCATTTGTTGAATTCACCACAGCGAGGATTGCAGACCCAATAGAATTATGTTTATTAAATTTTTTATATTTTTGATACAATGGCATATTTTTGGGAACCACCCTTGATGGAAAATACATACACAACTACATATGGATGTTACACACATGGATGCACGTGGACATAGCATACGTACAACAAGTACATGTCACCTCACAAACTAGGTTTATCGAAGCCTCTTGTAACTAACCATCATTTTTCCTTGAGGTTCTGGGACAAACTTGCGGGAGTCTTCTATGGGGAACGAAGAGAGTAGTTTTACTTCAAAATTCCTTAGCATGTAGCTCCATATCATCTTAAACTTCATATAAGCATAGGCCTCGCCAAAGCAAGCATGCCTTCCAGCACCAAATGATGTGTATGAAAATTTACCACCAATTTTGTCCTCCTTTCTTTCCGGACCAAACCGGTCCGGGTCATACTGCTGAGGGTTCTTATAAATATAAGACATATTATGGTTGAGTATGGTAGGGCTTGCGAGGATGTGATCTTTTGGGATGTCATATTGGTCGCCTTGCTTGGTCCGCACTGTGAAGGGCATATGTGCCTTGCGAAGAAATACTGGTACTGGGGGGTGCATCCGTAGTGCCTCTTTGATGCACCTATGAAGAAAATGCATATGTGACAAGATGTTATAGTCTATGCGGTCCTTGTTTTCCCTAATGATATTCTTTTGCTCCTCAACAACAGTTGTTAAACAGTCTTCATGGCTCAGCAGATAAGCAGCGGTCCAGGTAATGGCGTGGGAGCAAGTGTGATTTGCAGCAAAGAAAATGGCAATACAAAGCCCCGCGATCTCTTCTTCAGTGGTGGAGCGGCCATCTCTATACCTGGAATCCATAAATTTCTGTAGCATATCACCATCCCCCACTGGGCCAGACAACTTCCGTGACCTCACAATTTCAGAGAGTATTTCTATGAGTTTTATGCGTGCTCTATCACGTTGGCGGTTTGTCAGAATTGGAACATAAGGAAATAATAAATTGATCATATTTGCGCTTCCTTGAATATCAGAAAATAGCTGACAGAATTCCATGAACACTTCCTCCCGAACCTCCCTCCCAAGCAGGGCACGGCTCGAAATCAGCATGAGCAAGTGCTTCAGTTCATGTTTCAAATCAACTATGCCATCTTCTCCCCATTGTGAAAAGTAGTCCTAGTAAACATAAATACATGAACAAAACTAGAGTGTGGAATGTAACCTATAAATAAATATAAGTACGTTTGTGCATCATGAAATAATCTATGAGCAACAACAGTATGGTAAGAACTAATTTCAAAAGTTTTACAATACATAACTATTAATAACTTCCTACGTAGGATTTAACAAAACAACACCCCATGTTAGCAACCAATGTAGTGTGCATGTGTTATCCATCACTTGACTTTGTTTTCTTGAACTCCTTTATGGTAAACCTAAATGAATACGAATCAGTTTCTATTAATCCAATGGATGATCTCAACTAGTATTCCATTGTACTCCAGCAAGAAGTAAATTATGCAAAACCACCGCAATTACGGACAAACTTTAAAGAAAACAAAAGTCTTGGGAACTCAATGTTCTTTTTTTTTGCGGGGAAAACTTCCGATCTTTTTGACAAATACCATGGAAGTACCACGAACATGAGATGCAACAAAAATTACATCTATGTCCGTAGATCACCTAACGATGACTACAAGCACTAAAGTGATCTAGCCGAAGGCATGCCGCTGTCATTGCCCGTCCCTCGCTGGAGCCGGGCGGACCTTGTTGTTGTATATAGTTAGGATGTCGTCGTGCTAGCCCCCAAGAACCAACACACCAGAATAACAACCTCCGCCGATGAAGAGAAGTGTATATCGGAAGGATCTAACCTGTAGACACATGAACGTAGACGAACAGAGACATCATCCACACAGATCCATCAAAGACAAACACCGACCGAATACCGCGACATTCACCGGAGACACACCTCCACACGCCCTCCAACGATGCAAAACTCACTGCCGGGATAGGTGCTAGGCGGGGAGAACCTTACTCCATCATCAGGGAGCCACCGCCGCCGCCTGACCTTCCCGAGCAGGACACAATACCTACATAGACTTAAAAAACACCTAAAAACAAAGCATGAGCCCTCCTGCCAGCATTAGTCAAGATCCACCGTGCCTTTCGGCAATGGGAGATGAGGCAGATCGGCGCCAGCGAGAGGAAGGGAAACCCTAATTGCCCAAGAGGTTTTGTTTGTTTCTATGGAAGAAAAGGGTGACACAATGTTCGTGATAACACTAATGATTCTTTTAAAATGTGTTGTGATATTGAACAACTCTCAACCCTAAACTGCTCTCAATCCTAGCAGCCCCCAAATCTTTCATCCATGCATCCACCTCGGTGCCACTCCTCTCCCTCGTCCGGCGACCATGTAGGTAGCCTGTGGAGTGACTACAAGTACTGATTGGAGCTCCTTCCCATCATCGTTGTTAGAGGAGGAGTCAGAGCAAGAGGGAGTGGGGGTGCTCTCCCCCATCTGGTGACCTCGCGCGGTAGCCTATGGAGTGACTATAGGCATCAATCAGATCTCCTTCCCATCATCGTCATTAGAGGAGGAGGAGGAGGAGCGGTAGAAAGAGGGAGGGGGATGCCCAACAACGGAGAGGAGGTGCATCATGACATTGAAGTGATCCTCGGACCGCGGGGAGTAGGAGCACCACGCCGCTGAGAAGGAGTTCCTTGGTCGTTCTGCAAACATTGGCCTCTATACTGCGACACGCGAGGTTTTTCTCGATGATCTTTTTATTACCATTGGAGATTTGCACGGGGTTCAAATGCCACGACGTTTCTCCACAGTTTGCGCACCCATAAAAAAATACTGCAATGATGTTGGAACATATAAAAAAGTGTTGCTCGCCAGGGGATTTTAGTGCAATGGTCAAATACCCATGATCTCGATTTTAAACGAGATTAAATGGTTGCGGCGTGGCCGGTGTAGGGTTTCAATCACTTGGACGACACCTAGGGTCACCCAATGTAAACAATAAATGACGTGTTCACCCAAATGCAATTGATGAGAAAGATTAAGAAGTCAAATATATGAATAATCACTTGCTACGTACCTTTACTTCTTGAAGCATTGGTTCAACTTTCCTCCTCAAATTCAGTGGCGTCATTGAATCACTAGAGAACCGCATCTGCTCATTCTGAGTGGTGCTATCTACACCATAACCAACTGCTTGGCCAAACATTGGCACAGTGAACTCATAGATTTTACCATAGCTAATTTCTGAGTCCAACCCTTGAAAGAAATGATCTGCAACTTCTGGCCCGATCAAGAAGGTTAGCTTTAGTCCAAACAAACTTATTGTGAATACACTACCAAACTTGGTATGCAGGTATTGGATTGTAGCTTGTCGACCGTTTCTGATGAAAATTGGTACTAGTACTAGCATAGCAATGCCATTAACAACGGGTGGAAGGCGTCTTCGATCAGATGTAATTAGTCTTCCTGACACAATCTTTGTGACCACGACACTGAGGGACAAAAGAGCTATGGCAAACCAGACCGCGCTACTTGTCATGTCCATACTGTTGTTGTTTATGGAATGTAGCCAACCAGCTGCACCGCTCTGCATATATAACATGAAGATAAGATGGGAGTTGCATGATTTGCTGATTTTCTAGATCAACACAGGAGTTATGGGAGCGTAGAAAGTTAGAATGTTTTTTTTCTTGGGGAAGATAATTTTGAATTTGACATTAGTACTGTTGAAAGTTATCTGCGAACTCAGAAATTTTTATCTGCAAGACTTTCCACACGTATATTGTGCAGTAGTACGTGCGACTATAAACATTTTTCAATCATATTGTCGATAAATGTGAAAACAATGCTGGAATACTGAATAAATGCATTATATATAAAAAATTTCCAGCTCTAAACAAACATACATTGTATCATAAATAGCAAGCAGACAATGTATATATTCCACAACATTTATAATTGTTTTCAGAATAGCCACCACAAAATGCTAAGTTATATTTTTGTATTAGTTTTATTGTTGTCATGGATGACAAATGTATTGGATTCTTAGAGCATACATATTTAGGTCATGCTTCCCATTTTTGCTGAAAAAGCCATGTATTTTTTTCCTTTAACAAGATTTCTACAGCAACACACGGTGTATCATCTTGTACAATTACTAACAACTATCAAGGTAGAAGGAATCAGAATTGAGAAATTTATGGGGTACGGGACTTTTAAGGGTAGACCATGGTATATAGTTCTTCTTAATGGAAGAAGGAGTCATCATGAAATTAAGAGCATGCTTGATGATGAGATCATCTATGACATTGCTGAGTAGCTTTGATGATTATCTCCAGGTGAAGAACATATCCGTTATCGACCTCAGCTTAAAGCTATTTTTCCATCCATTCTGTCTTATTATAAGCTACCTACAATCTCTTTTTCTACCACATGTACCTAAAGGTAATTGGACTATGATGTATGTACCCATTGGTAGATGACTTATTCTACCACTTTTCTTATACCTGTCTGTAAATAGTTCCAATCTAGGCATATTTACTAGTGAAACAATCCTATGAGAGTCATGGCGGACTAACACCCTACTAACAATCCTATGAGAGTCGTCGCAGGTGTGGGCTCCTTGTTTGTCAGTGGCAGGCTTCCCCTGCGCATGGTGGCCGAGATGCGGAGGAGCCCATGTGGTAGCCAACACGCGATGAGAGGATTGTGGTCCTCTACCGAGGCAGAACCCCTGGCTTGTTTCATCTTGGCTTGGCCTTTGGAATCTGACAAAGTTGTATGCCTGCCGATGCTAGTGTCTTTTGTCGATGTTCTGCCCTCTACTAGAGTGGTTTCTAGTCTAGACATTGGACCATAGTGATTCATGCTGGGTTTCTTCTCTACATTTGTTTTCCTATACTCACTATTAGCCTGTTAGATGTCCTTGCACTCTGTATCTTTGTAGTTTCTGCTTTGTCCTGTCTGTTTTTTTTTTTTGCGACTGTCCTGCCGGTTGTTGGCTGTGTTAATTCAAAGTCGGGTTAGGTTCGAGCCTTTTCACGGTCTCTACCAATACATTTTGTTTAAAAACATACCAACACCTTTTCTTTAAAAACAATCCTATTAATGTTTGTCTAATACATTCCCTTCGTTCATGGTTAATTTTTTTATTGAAAGTATCTTATCACTGTTGATCTTTGCGGTTCAATGCCTAGTGGTCAACCATGCAAAAGGCAGGTGGCGCGCGACAAGACGCACCGCCGTTCTATTAGAGATAAAAACATATATCTTTCCAAAAGGTTTAAGAGGTCGCGTGACTTGTTGAAATAAATCTTATAAGGTAGGGTTTATTTTTCTTCGGAGGCACGCCAACTATAACACGCGACCATTAACATTACTATAACAAAGCATTGATCTCACCAATCCGAAACACTATCTCTCGCTTTCTTATGCCCATGTTTGCATTGGTACTCTATATGCCAAAGTAATTCACTAAGGGCACGTTAGGGCACAGGAAGTGGACGTGATGTTAGATTTCTTTTGGGTGTTCGCTTGATGGAGGAGAAAAGATTAACTTGCACGTGGGGAAGGATCAGATTTACATCATGTGGAGGAGGATGACCATCGGATGGTTGTGGTTTTTTTTTGGGTCCAATATTAATCAATGGTAGATGTTTCTGATTTTTGTGGAATTTTCTAGCTGAACTCCCTTTTTTCTGCTTAACCCATCTATTACTTTTTATTTATTTATAATTATAATTTATAATAATTCCCTTTCTCTGGTTAACCCGTCAATTAACTTTTATTTATAATAAAAGATTCGACAGCAGTCCAGCTTGGGCCATCCAATGGATTAACAGTTTCAATTGTTACTTAACAAGTACACACAAGCTCGGTCAGTATAGCACAGCCGTAGTGCATACGTGGTCTTCCCATAGTTAATAGTAAGCTCTAGCATATATTACACTTTTTCCAGAAGATATATAGTGGCACCAACTTTCCTCCCATACAAGTCCCCCAAATAACATGGAGCTTCCTTCATTAATTTCCGATAAGCACCAGCGAGGTTGTACAACACTGAACGCATACCATCTGGTTTGGGTATATCATATTCAGTTGAAATAGCATGATTATTTCAATTCTGTAGTTGAAATGGATGTGTGCACCTGACCTGAGGCCTGCGGGTACAAAGTCCAGGATTTTGTTTCTTAAACTGGAAAAACTAGATGATACCATACATGCTCGTTGCGTCAATGCATTGCAATATATTAAATTATAATAGATTGCATGGAACATTAATATTTCGATTTATAACGAGAACTAAAACTAAAAATACATACTCTCTTCGTCCGAAAATACTTGTCAGAAAAATGAATGTATCTATATGTATTTTAGTTCAAGATACATCCATTATATTAGTCCGATAAGTATTTTTTGGATGGAGGGACTATGATTTACTGTGTTAGATTATTGTATATCAAAATATAATGGAAATTCCCATGCATGTTTGCATGTTGAGCCGAGTTTTTTTTTTAAATAAATGTTGCTTGTTGAGATGATTCTTTTCCCGTGCATCTTCAATGATTAGGTGCCATGCTTGTTCAACAAAATATGTTGGTGGGGCTAGCTATTTAGATATAGAAGATTTTAAATAGTACAGCTAACACTCCACTGGCTCCTTGACCACAGAGATGGAGTACAGTTAAACCTTTTTTCTAGAGTCGAGAATCATTCAGTATAGCACAGCATACGTGGTCTTCCCATACGTGGCACCAACATTCCTCCCATACAAGTCTCCCCAAATAACATGGAGCTTCCTTCATTAATTTCCAGTAAGCACCAGCGAGGTTGTCCAACATTGAACTCATACCATCTGGTTTGGGTATATCACATTCAGTTGAAATAGCAACCAGTTGACACGTTTATATGTTTATTTCACTTCTGTAGTTGAAATGGATGTGTGCACCTGGCCTAGGGCTGTTAGATTGATTTCTTCCCCAATGGGCCGTTGGGCCCATTGGACCCTTGACCCACGCCCTGATTCGGGGTGTCCCGCCCAAGTAAGGCTGGTTGGCCCTTTTCGTGCAATGCCATATAGAGGAGGTGGGGACCACGGCACAAGGGGTACGAGGTTCACCACCGCCACTGTTCTCCACTCCTAACCCTAGTACGATCTAGAGGGAGGTGCTGAAGCGATGGGAAGCCCACCGACGCCACGACTACCTCGCAGTCGCCCTCTAAACCGACTGTCGCTGCCTGTGCGCAGACCTTCACCGACGAACCAGCGGCGGCTGGAAGGCTAAGGTACACACACGCATACAGACAATATCCCACTGATCTACTCCTAACATCTAGCCTAAACGATCCAGTAATCCCGTTCAGAGGCATGAGGGTACAGAGTCCAGGAATTGGTTTCTTAAACTAGAAAAACTAGATGATACCATACACGCTCGTTGTGGCAATGCTTTGCAACATATTTAAATTATAACTGAGTGCATGGAACATTAATATTTCAAGAAATAATGAGAACTAAAACTAAAATACATACTCCCTCTGTCCGAAAATACTTGTCAGAGAAATGGATGTATCTATATGTAATTTAGTTCAAGATACATCCATTTGCCCAATAACTATTTTTTGGACGAAGGGACCATGATTTACTGTGTTTGATTATTGTATATCAAAATACAATGGAAATTCTCATGCATGTTTGCATGTTGAGCCGAGTTTTTTTTAATAAATGTTGCTTGTTGAGATGAGTCTTTTTTCATGCATGTTCAATGATTAGGTGACATACTTGCTTGTTCAACAAAATATGTTAGTGGGGCTAGCTATTTAGATATAAAAGATTTTAAGTAGTACAGCTAACACTCCATTGGCTCCTTGACCACAAGAGATGGAGTACGGTTAAACCTTTTTTGAACAGTCGAGAATCATTCATGTAGTTGAAATGCAAAATGAATACTAGTTATCTGAATTGAAGCGATAGTATAGATGGCTCGTTGCAGGTACACTGCTATCGCCGTACCTAATTTATTTT